GGGGCTGCTGCGCGGGCCGCCCTGCGCGCTGCTTGTTTCCAGCCCCCGCAAGGGTGGGTAGGTTAGGCCAGAGCCTGGGAGCTCGAGAAGCTGGAAAATCTCTATACCGCCCTGTGCAACCCTTAACGGAAACACTGGCAGAGATTTTCAAGCAGCCCTCCTGTTTTTTGGTGTTTCTAGCATCATACCCACTTCGGGCTCCTAAGAGCAGCGACAGGCTGAACTATCAGAAACTCCGCATTAGGCTCCGTATCCTATTTGCCCCCAATTTCCCTTTCTTCATCTGCTTTTATCTTTAATGCTTCATGGTCGTTTGCACTGTACAAATGGCCCAGAGAAGCTGGCAAACGCAATGAGTAACTGCACATCCACTGGCCCCGGTGCATGTAACCACAYGAAGAGCATCCCTACAATAAACCCCAAACACTCCCGGGAAGGAGCTACCAGGGAGAGCTAGACAGGTACACAGAGTAAAAAATCCTTCTTTTTACCTATATATGAGTAGCATGAAGAGACGATCTATACAATCGGCACAGCTTTGCAGGCTAAATGTGAGCACAGGACAAATCCTAGTGTTGTAGACAACAAACTCTTTGAAASTTTACACATAGGAGATTATTAAAACAAGGATAAGTGGGTTATCAAAAATAACTACTTACATGTGAGCATTTGTGACTGGTAATAAAACATAGGTATTATCAAGAAACAGTGTTAAGCAGAGTCATCATGTGCATTATCTTTGCATACAGGAATACAAAATAGTTATGGTAAGATGAAATTGAGTTTCCATATTATCATCTGTCCAAATAAACTTATTGATAAAGATTTCTTTTTTATCAGGAGGATGGCAGGAAATAACTAYATTGACAAGTGAATTATCTCTTAAAATCCAGCACAAGGTGCCTTTTAATTCTATCTCATACTTCTTGCATAGATCTCAAAAAGAGAGAACCTTACAGAATTCCAGTTTAGTAGCTGTAAGCCTGTGCAGATGGGAAGCTGTAAAAATATTAAGAATTAAGAAGTAATAATAATAATAATAAACAAACACATTACATACTCATAATTATATGAATTGTCAGCGCTTCCAGGTCTAATTTAAATAAGTTAGTATCCTTTGCATCCTCCTTATTTAGATAAGGGTGAGATTTAAAGAACAGCAACATCATTCTAATGGTACTAGTTCGCTGCATTGCACTTTTACACCGGGATGCTTGGATTCAGTGCTTGTCTGTGTCCATATTAGGGGCAGGGAATCTTTTAGCTGCATCAGAGTAATCCCCTCACGAAATCCCGTGAACATTCCCCCAAGTGCTCACTTCACGCAGCTCTCCACTCTTCCACATCAGTCCTGGAAGCCACTGCAAGGAGTGGCTTTGCTACAGACTTACTATCCGATGACTCTGAGCAAACCTTTGTGCCCATTCTTTCTCATTTAAAGGGATAACAGTTCTCCAGTGCTCACGAAACAGTGTTACAGCTGGAGTAGGGTGCAAACGTGCAAGTGCCCTGGTTGAGGAAATAAGGTGCTGATCTATTAGAAGCCCTTTTCCTGCTRGAGTAGAGCATCATCCTTAACTCTGTGCTAAGTGTCAGTCCAGAGACAAACACCAGTGACAGGTCTCAGCATCACACTGGGTGATGTGACACAAAAAAAATGCAGTTTGTTTCTTCACTGGCTGAATTCCTGAGTAAAATGTGCTCTGGGTGAACCCTGCTTGTGAAGCAGGGGCTGGACTAGATGGTCTCCAACCTCAGCCCCTCGGTGGCTCTCTGATCTGATCTCTGTGGTGAGACTGGGATCCAACAAGATCCAGGCCACTGGCACTGCTCCACATCCGATGTCCCTGCCACTTGCTGGTGTTTGGTCACATTTGTTATCTCCKATTTTTTTACTTCTTTAGTTCATGTTCCCTTCAAAATACTACCTATGAAAAGACACATAAATCCCAAATTCTTCTTTGGAACTATTGTTTATCAGGAGAAGGAGGTGCTTTTTGGAAGTCAAAGACTTCATAATAATTAATCTAATACTAAAATTGTCCTATTTGACAACAGACTCACCAATAGGGCAGGTGGTTCCAAGCAGATCTGATATCTAAAATCACATGAAAATACACACAGTAAAGAAYAGTAATATTTCTGTCTTAAGGAAAATCAATTTGTCTGGTTTATATATTTGAATTTAAACCTTGTATTTATACATAATATATATCACCAAAAGTATTTATTTGGCCTAGTGTACAGTAGCTAATAAGTCTGCTCACACTGAATGTCTTCGAAGACTCTTCCTTGGAAATAAGGCCTGAAATGAAGGGAAAAAAAAATATCCCCACCAGTTGTCCAGAGCAAATAATTTAGAGAGAGGTAAGAAACAACCTTTAAGATATCATTGTAAGGAGTGTGTGAATGTGGAGACTCTGACTATCTCACCTTCTTATAAAGYTTTTCCTCCACCTGTGCTGTTCATAGCCTAAGGCCTGTAGGTTTCCACAGTCTGCAGGGTCTGCAGCACAGTCTGCTGTCTTCGAATACAGAAACAAAAATCTCTTATTCATTAATTGCAAACTAGCATGTTTTAATGGAAGCAGTAGGTTTCTACTCTTGTTCACGCTGTGCTATGTCCCTTCTGGTACTTACAAACATGTCTTCTTCTGAAAACTACACTGAAGTCAAGATCTGCTTTAAGTTACAGCCCATACAATAGGTGCAGTCACTGAGATGACTTGGATAGCATCAGCCACCCCAGATTTCACACACACACAGGTTAAGAGGCTTCATCCACAGAGTCATTACAGCGCAATATGACTGATCTGGGGAAAAGAAGAAAAAAAAAAGAAGATTGTAGTTACACAGGAAGTTTCAAAATCCCCATTTAGTAATTKTGTTGTTTTGCAAACTAGCATATACTTTGGGAAAAGTCACATGGATTAGACGCTTCATTGCAAAGAAATAACAGTATCTACATACAGTATCTATGTGTATATAGTTTAAATAGTTTTCTTCATTTTTTTTTTTTTACAATATTGTTTACAGAAACTTGCCTCAAAAGTACTAGTAGCAAAGTTTGGCAGTTGTGTTTTGTTTCAACTACCTTTCTAAGCCAGGCAAGCTGAACCTGGATGAAAATATCAGCCATATAGTTGCTTAAAATACAAGTTCGTAATTTTCCATTTTCCTTAGCAATAGCAAGAATAAGGCCTCTCCAAAGACAGAATTGTCTTTGTCCTTCTAAATAATGTGGCTATTGAGCAGGTAATGGGAAAGTTCCAATTAAATGAAGATGGATATAGAGAAACTTTCTTCTATGTATTTAAGATTACGCTCTTACTTCAGGATGTCCCATTTTACTCACAACTGGAGACTTCTGACAAAGCAAACGGCGATGGAGAGTCCCAAGGAATTCAGGTCACAGGGACTGTCTGGGTGAAAGTGAAACCTCAGCAAGAGAGAGATGCAGAGTGGGTATTCGTTCAACTGTATTCTCAAGGAAGTCAAGCCATAGGACTTAGAAAGTCATACACTTTCCACGCTTCCYTGGGGACAAGCTGGGACACTTCCCCTGGTACAAGGGCCTTGCTCTGCCTTGCTATCCCCTTCTTCCAAATCCTGCTTTCTGTGAAGAACGCTGTCTACTCCCCATCGCTGCTGGCTGGATGTCAGATGATTTAATAGATTTCTTTGACAACAGAGTCCTGGGAACTCTGGATTTTGTCACTCTGCGCTCTCTCCAGACGAAAGAGATCATTGTTTCTTCAGGTTAAGATTAAAAGTGTATTATGGTGAAAATGGCACAGCAAAAAGTAGCTTGTCAGTCAAATCCACAAGCTACTACCAGGCTTTTCTGCTGAGCTTCGAAAACCTTTCTCAACAAAAATGTTACATTTTCATCTCAAAATGAGAGCAAAATCTCTGCAGAGAAAGGGCATCTGGCCACATGTCCTTAGGATGGAGCAGCTGATGATTTAAACTGTCACTGTTGTTTCAGAGCACTTGCAGTCATGCACCCGGGTAGCGACACACTCACAAAAAGCACTGTCTGTGTCTTCCCTTTCCTGAGGCTGCAGTGCAATCGCGTACACAGCCCATACAAGCACAATTCTCAGTTTCTTAACTCATACAGGCTGTGTTTTCTCCAGTGTCTAATTCAAAATYTTCAGGAGATAGATACCTCTTCAAATGCCTCCTTAAAACATTTCTGAAAAAGAAAAAAGACTGCTTTCAAAGAAATGAGACTTAGCAGGTCTACTAATAGTAAAAATGCGTGGAATGTGCTTTGCTTTACCTTTCCAGCTGGATTTGTTCAGATTGCATAAAGCAATCTGCATATATTGCTGACTCTCTTCCATAACTGAGCATGATGTGGAGAAGGGGATTCCAGGAGGCCATTTGTCCTTTCAGTGTGGATGAGAGGCTGGCTATTCTAGATGGGTGAGTAAGCAGCAAGCAAAGAGAGGTAGAAGCCAAACAAGGTAACCTCGGGTGACTAAAGGAAGTGGTCGGGGAGAGGCAGTCGGAGAGCAGGGACGGGACTGGTGCTGCTGCTGCTGTGATTTCCTCATCAGGCTTCACTTGTGAACCGGCTGATTTCTGTTGACATGTGGGCCCTGCAGACAATTGCATCATTTCTATAGCTTGCTGATATGCTCTTAAATTGGACTCAGGATTTACACAGCGTGCTTATCTATGGAATGGATAACTGGTATTTTTAAGAATGTAGTAGATCTACAGTAAAACATGAAGGAAAATATATTTTATACCAACATACACCCACACTGTTCTACTTAAAGCGGGCAAAGCACATTGATGAAAATACATTACTATGGACTTTTCTTTGGATGTCCATGGCCCCAGGAACCCTTTTYTTCCCACAGTAAAAATGTATATAGTATTAATTTCATGGTAACACTACTGGTAATTATTTACTATCATGACGTGCGATTCCTTCAACATTTTATTTCCTGCATACAAGCACGTGTGTTCTTTGAGTGACTCTGTGAAGCTCTTGGTGCAGCGTTTCAGATGGATGGGAGCTGTGTTCAGCTCCAACAGCAAACAGGAGTTCCTCAAACGTTCTTCAAGAAGTGCACTATTTCTGAAATTGCTGCCTTGTGAAGATGCTTGCATTGCTGAGAAGACCACATGCAGTGCAACATCTACTTGTCTTTTCGACTTTCTGCAAACATTGCATTCTTCTCCAAGCCTATTCCTTTTCAACATCTCCAAGGTGATTATGGCATTTTACACTCCACTTTTTTTGCAGTTACCAGCTGTTGCGCCTCCTTCTGCTGAAAGCAAGGTGCTGCTGTCCTCCTTCGGTGGCTCTCTCCTCTGAAGATACTGCTACTCAGTCTTCCTCGCTCCACCACAGAGGTAGGTGAGTATCTGATGCTGACCCTGTTATTAGGCACCCGAACAGGCAGAATCCTATGAGGCCTCAGGTGATGTGAAAATACATGAGATTCCTTTTGTTCCTGTTTTATGCATCCCAAAGCATTTGTGGAGATATGTTCCCTCACATCTGGAACTCCTTTTGACAGGTTCAATTTTCTGTGGCAATTTGGAAGATTCCTTGGGCAAAGTATAGTACTGGGACCCAGCTATTATGTTCAGTTTCTGAAAATACACAATACACAAACATCACTCTCACCTGCACTCTGGTCCTTTTTACAGAACTCTTTTCATACCTGCAGCACAGACTAACCCACCTAAATCAGTCCATTTCTCAACAGACAGAAAATACCTTAGCACCAACAGTCCCAGGCATTAGAAATCCCTGCGCCTACTCCATGACTTGGTGCAATCCACAGCTGGATTTGGTAGTGTCTCTACAAGAGAAGAAAACAATGTGAATTTACAGGGTATTGGTGGGTATCTGAAGAAATAGGAAATGTAGTACACAGCACTCTGATAACAATTAGRATCTACTATACTGATGTCTACACTGCACACAAGCACTTCCAGGAACTGCTGGAGAAAATAACCATTAACTTATAGCTTCAACACTGAAGCACAGTAGTTTGACAGGACAGTCTTGCCCTTTAGCTGAATGTGATTTCCCCCAAATACGATTCACCTCATCCCTGATCACGCAGTGGTAGGAAATGCCGTGTTGCTCAGTCGCTCAGAGAATTTTACACATCTTCAGCAACATTAAGTTGCTAACTTCCCAGTGAGGTACAGTACTCCAGGAAGTTTGTAAGGCATAAAAATATCAAAAAGGGGTCCTTACCCACAAAGGGTGTGTTTGATTGCTATTTTATTGGATCTCTAGACACACGGTGATCAATCACTAGAACTCTGTGGAATGCTATACAATATACGACATTACAGCTATACAGTATTACTTCAGCATTTACTAAATGAATAAAAGGAGGCAGTCTTTGGTTACCACAGTCTTTCTTGGAGAAACACTAAGACCACCATGATTCTCTGGATACAACTAACTAGAACTTGTAAGTCAACTCTGGGATGTACTTCAAGAATAACATTTCTCTTTTTTTTTTTCCCAATTTGTCTCATGCTGAAGCTTTTTTTAATCAGGAAAAAAAAGCATCTCAAAGTGGTCTTTAAGCACAGAAAAACATATACAAGAAAAATAAATCCACCTCTGCCCCAAATTCTCAAATATTGTCATCTCACCTCCGTGACTATTCCAACCCACCTGAATTCTTGCAATTTGCAAAATAAACTATTACCATACATATTCTCTTACATGGATGGTGGGCTTTTAGGAATATTTTTTCTAAGGAGGCATTTCCAGCCAGGTTGCAAAATGCYTTAAGGAGACCATGCTACACATTGCTTAAAGATTAAGTACCCAAGCCTCACACAGCAGGGCAGGAGGATGGTCCTCAGTTTTTAAACCATGGAGCTGGCCACATGAGGAGGGCACAAGAAGGGAGGGTACAAGAAACACCATGCAAATGTTATCTTATCTTCACCTTTCTCCTTTCTGTCCCTCTTTTTTTTTTTTCCTCCTCATTTTTCCCCACACCACTGTGCTAATATGCAAAATATACTGTGTCAGCTGTGCATGCTCACCATGTACTCACCAAGAGCACTGCTCAAAAGGGGAGTCATTTTTCTGCCTTCTGAGTGGCCATCCACCAGTCTGCTCTAGTAAACTTCAGCTTGTGCCAGGACACATTATACTCCAGTGGTGCTGCCTCGTTGCAACACTTATCAACAATCTTCCTGGTTAATTAGGAATTAAAACGGAGGCTCACCTCTTACGCTGAAGTTCAAGAAATGAAGTCACGCCAGGGATCCTTATTGATGCTGACCCCAGTTTCTATGATAATCATTGAGTCTCTTCTGTTATCTTCTTTACTGAACCTTTACTGAAGGTTTCTATTCTGGGATGTAGATACTCAGAAATCTGAGGCAATCTAGGATGTAAGAAATTATATTCTTTATACTTTATAGTGGTAAAGCTTATATTCCAAGGTATGCCTCTTCTGCCATCTCTAACAACAAATAGCTGTTTTAAAAGGGGCTCTGTGGGCATCACTGCATGGGAACATCTACTCCAAGTCACTTTGTGCTACCAAAAATCTTAGGCTTAATACTGTGATTAAAACAACTGATAGATTCAGACTTTTCTTAACTAGAAATCACCTGCCTGTTTATTCTTCCCTTAGTCCTATTCACTGCCTTTTCAGGCACTTTAAAGGATTTTAAATTCTTTTATGTTATTTAATTTTCCTTTATTTTTTTTTTTAATTTACCTCTACATTTACCAAGTGTTCATGGGCTTTCATTTTGTTGAAACAAATTAAGTCCTTTACTTTGAATATGCTCCAAGTTTCATTGAGGAAATGTTGCCACAAAGGAGATGCATATTCTTTGAAAGTAAAAAAGGATGGTAATTTGGACAGAAAGTCAACTTGGTGACCTAAAAATTGCATAAAGAGTAGAGAAACTTGCATTAGGTCCATCTGTAGCACTGAGAGCTTAAATAGTCTTGTTCATTTTCACTAAAATGTGAAGGCTTCTCTGAGGGATCAATGTGGACCTAAAAGCACAGATTCAATTTAGATGCTTATATGCATGTAAGTCTTCAGTAGGCCAAGTAGGCCAAGACGTTTAGACATTGCAGGCATCTGGTTAGTCTACTTAAAAAATAATTATTTTATTTTTTTTCTCCCACAGTACTCAAAATGAACAGCCTACTTCTTTGGGTAAAAAAAAAAAAACCCATACYTCAGTAGCAAAAGTTTCAAGAAGGTCTTTGAAATAGCAAGCCACAGATTTTAGTTGCTTCAACTCTTACAATGATTGCTTTTTATAACAAAAGGATTCTTGATACTATCATATTTCCTCTATTACAATATAACATGCAACTGTTAAACTATGTGACTGCTCTTGGGTTTCCACATGTAAGCAAATGACTACTCATTGAATTAAATGGATTCAAGGAATGCAGATATTCACATTTATTCACAGTTTCATTTTCCAGTCGCCCAGACAGTTTGTTCCTAAATAAGTACATTTTTTTGCATTAATTCCTACCAAATTTTGACAGTAAAAACTATGTATTGTTATCTATAGCACTTAAGGTTTTGATGTATTTTTTTTTTTTACAATTAAGATTACTATTTTTATTTTTACTTTTATTTCCCTTCTATCTCCCTAAAAAGCAGCATAAACAAATGCTCTTGCTAGCACTCCTACACAGCATTCTCGCAGAATTGATAGCCCTTTTGAAGTTTCTGAAGCATTGCAATGCTTTTAAACCATTCCATCTTATTTTGTCCTCTAATAATTATATTAAATAGATGTTTATTTAATTGAACTTCACAGCAACATCAATTTCTGAACATATAAACACAGGAGTAACAGAGTAGTGATTTTACTACTATGCATGCTATGGGTAACATACAGTTTTATGTCTCTTTTTTTTCTAAGTAGAAAAAAATACAAGGAAGAGAAAAGAGCCACAAAATCATCTAAGAATAAGGGGGGTGGGGTGGGGAAAGAAATGAGAGAACCATAAAAAGCTCAATCTGTTTAGCTTATCCAAAAAAAAGGAAAGAGGGAGAAAAAAAAAAGGTAACAATTACAGGGTAAAAACATGTTCCTGGGGAGAAAATAGTGAGCACTAAACAGCTCTTTAATCTATCAGAGAAAGGCATAACAAGAATCAATGACKGGAAGCTGAAGGCAAACAAATGCAAACAGAAATAAGGCAGAAAATGTTTAGCAGCAGGCGTGATTACTACTTGTATTATCTTAGTTCCAGGAAGCCAAGTCACGGATCAGGTCTCGCTCGTGTTTGGTGCCATTAAACAAAAAAACAAACAAACAAATTAAAGACAACCCCTGCCAAAAGGTTACAATCAAAGCGTAAGATGAAATATCACAATAAATCAATGACATAATATCACTTAATATGACAGGCAGCAGTTTCAAGCCACAGTTTCACAATACAAGCTGCTGGGTTGAGACACTGGCTTAAGGTATTTCTGCTCTGTCAAGACTGATTCTTCTTATTCCCAAAACTTACCCACAGCAGGGAAACAACTTTGAAAAGTGATCCATAAAAAAAGAAAACCGAAGTGTAAAAAGCAGGAGTTTGATTTTTTTTCTCATAACAAAACACTGGTAGAATTGACATAATTTTTCCAGTGACTTCAAAACTTCAGTGAATCCCAAAGAATGGCTTGAGTGAGATTTCCCTATTTCTCAATTTCCCTACTTCTATTTCTCAATATCAACTTCCATGATGCCTGCAGGACATCTGAGTTTGCTGCCTTACTTGTGGGGGGAGGAGGAAGAAAAAAAAGAAAAAAAAAAAAAAAGATTGTGCATAATGCCCAAGGGAAGTGTTTTGTTTTTTCTTGCTGAAAATCGCTAGCCCAGCACAGATAAGACAGAATAAAACATCAATAAAACTTAGACCATGGCTTATTAAAGATTCCCCCTCACCCCTGCAAAACCYTCATCACCAGAATCAACTCTAGCTTAAAAACCCAGAGATTAGCTACTGACTCTGGGTGCCACGGCTCTGTCACCAGGTGCTAGGCACTGTGGTAGCTTAGGGCAGGGAGAAAGCAGGGATAACTGAGGGGTGTTTCATTTATATCCATTCCTGTACTTACGCTATTAGCAGGTTATGTCAATGCACCCAACATCCCCAAGCGATGGTGAGCACCTCTCTGGGAAGCCGGGCCCAACATGCAACACCTGCGGCACCGGGAATCTTCAGAAAAGGTAACTTCTGGGGCTGGGAATGCTGAAGGGGAGAGAAAAGGCTGGGTGAACATTCACAGGCAGCTCCTGAGATGTGAGGTCAAAACGAGTGGCTCTGTTTTGTTTATTACACGAACTTCTATCTCCCTCTCCTCCCTCAGACAGGATTCACGTTCAAATGCTACATATGAAAATAGTTGCAGCTACATATAGTAACACTTGCTTTTTTTTCCCCCTTATTTTTTGTTAAAAACATTTCAAACTACAGCTTAGTGAGCTACATTATTGTAATGTTATTTCTTTACGGAGTTTAAGTTTGTAAAGGCCACCGCATTCAGCCTCATGTGCTGGTCCATTGCATCAACTTTTTCCACGGGACTGTGGCCTCCTGTGTGCACAGGCCGTATGCTGATCAGGAAATGAATAAGGGTTGTGTATCAAACTAGATTATTTATAGGTTCCTATATGCGCTTGCTCTAGAATTTGTGTGCAGAACAAGACAGACAACTGCAGGAAGAGAGCGGAGGGCCTGTGGTTAAGGCAGTTGAATGCCACACAGGAACACTGGGTTCTGCCTCTGCCTTTGCCATAGGGCTCTATGGCTGAGGAGCAAGTCAGACCAAACACCTTGGCAAAAGGCCATCAACTCTGTGTTCCTCATTTTCCAGGAGTCCAAACTGAAGCACCTAAGGCCTTTTATGCAGAAATAATATAATATAAGCTTTATATTTTATATATATATATTTGTTATAATGTAAGCTTTGGCTTTGGAGGGAGAACAGAGTTGGAGGCAGGTGGCTAAAAGGCAGGAGGACTCAGCTCATGGGGTTGACTTCAGTACTGACCGAGCGAGCAGCTCTGCTCTCCCCTTGGTGAAACAGGACAACAGTGCTCTCCGGCCGTGGAAACAGGCAGAACACCTTGAACCTATAGATGAAGTTTTAACAAGCTTACAATAACAAAAAGAAGATACTTGATTTTTCTATATACAAGATAATTTGGGATATTTTCATCTACTTATTATACTGATATATTATTTTACTTATTTATGGTTTTTTTTTCCAATTTGTAACATTGCTATTTGATTTTAGTACTCAATGAAACTGCAATGTAGTCAAATGGATGGGGAACAATATTCAACGTAAACCAAAGATATTCTTTGATTCATAAAAACACCTGCACTCACAGCTGTACAGTATATCATATAGGTATGTCAAAAAAAGTCAAACAGCAATAGGAGAGCTAGTAAAAATTAATGTCCTTTTGTACTTATTTTATTGGTGTACCTCACAGAGTACCACCAAATGCAAGTTTTTAGCAATAGTAAGCTACTAATCGCACACTGCAAAATAAAGTGAAATAAATTTACATTGTATCCGCAGAATAATAACAAAATCTACCAACATCTTTAAAAAATGTTTCGAATACAATTCCAATAGTTRCTCTGACTTCAAAATCTGAAATTAAGAGGAGGCTTCATTAAATAGGAAAACATAATAACAACAACAATAATAACAACAGCAATCAAGAGTTTTTGGCAAGTGAGACAACACAAATATTTTAACCATGACTGACAACATCCCAGAGTTCACAGTACACAAGTGATACTAAAGTAGATAGGGAAAAGATGCTAGATCGGTTTCATTTTAGAATCCTTTTCCCAATTTCTGGGTTTTTGTTGCTTCCAAGAAGYAAACATAGGAGTCTGCCAGAATAGCAAACATACATAGGAGAGCAAAATAAAAATTTAGCTTTGGSCCTACAGTCAGATCTTTGGAGTAAAAGCTTCCAGTCTTTCAGAGTTTCCTTATTTCAATAAATTTCCCCTGGATATAAAGGTCCATTTGAATAATACAGTGAGAGGATTAGGACTTAAACATGTAAATAGAAAAAGGACGAAATCAGGTAAACACAGTGCACAACTATAATTAGATATCAAACTAGTCACAGAAAAATGAGCCTCTAGAATGTTACAAAACTTACATTTTTTTTATTGCAATACTCTACAGCCATAGAGAACAGCTACAAAGATATATCAAGAGGTTTATATATCAATTAATCAAGAGGATTATTTGATCACAGCATGTTCTCCTTCAGGCAAACATGAGAACCTGCAGTCCATTTGCTCACCTCTAGTGTGCTGCTGTTTTTTTATTTTTTTC